CAATCCGTAGACAGTTGCAGTTGTGGCCGTTGCATCACTTCTACCACGACGAAAAGTGTAACAACATCAAAAAATATCATTAATAGAAATTCAAATAAAGTGATTTTATCAAGTTGTTATAAATGATATTACAAAATGGATGCCCAAGCTATGTGTATTATAGCATCTGCCTTAAATTTAGCGTAGATAGGTTTGGTGGAGAACATGGATATGCAAAAGAAATAATTACAAAATTAGACAATATTTATGGGTTAAAATCGAGAAGAACTTAATCATTCGGAATAGATATATCAAAGATAGAGAACATTGTTAAAGAGCTTCTTTGGACTAGTTTGGTTGTTTCTGAACGAAAGTAGGCATATGCTAGTAATTTAGGTTGGAGTAGAGCAGCGTAACATATGGAGGCAAACGTTTAAGGACTTGGACTGCAGAGTCATAGTAGAAGAAGAAAAATATCTCGCATTCAATGCATCATAAACAAGGCCAATTCGGTTACAAATTTAAAATTTTCCTAGTTTAAAAACATGGTCAGTAAGGGTCGGAAACTAGTACGACTACACATTTAATAAAAGCAAGTTAGAACTTACTATATGATTTTTATTTTTTTGATCCAACAAAATATTTGATATTTTCGAACACTGACTTGTTTGAACGCAAAAATCAATAATCACGTCTATAGTATGAGCACCCTCTCTGAAACAGGATTGTATTTAATAATATTTTCAAAGATATATAAATTAGTATCACTATTTTCTGTTTTACCCTATTATATATTTTTTATTTAAATTAGAATTAAATCATTTATCACTTCCGTTAAAGTTGTTACTTTTTATAGATTTTCTTGGGAAACCCTCATTTTCCTGGGAAATCCATATAAGAAAGTGTCCATAAACACAGTGTGGTGTTAAATTTATTACTAGGTGACGTAGATTTATTGTGTCTGAAGTCAGAATAGAATCTGTTCTGCGTATAATATGACTGGTTTCGCCGTTAACATTTACATATTAATACTGAGCCGTTAATTGTAAATGCGAAATAAACTTTCGGCTAAAGATTCTCTTAGAAAAAACTACCGTTTCATTACAGGTACAAATTAATTCAGGAGGATTATTTCTCTTTTGAATTTTTAAAGTTAATAAGGCCGGAAATGCAGTTACAGATACATTAAATTTTTTTTGTGTTTTCCATAACGTGGAAGATTATCGTATTGGAGTAAGCGATTATCTGAAATGGCCTCTTACGAATTAATGAAACGCTTAGGGCCATTTTTAACACTTCTTGTTATATTTATTCTACACATAAATTCTGCTCTTAGCTAAAGTAAGTTCTAGTGATGAACACCTGTGGGCATGGCAAAACTTCCTTAGATAGTTTAACAACAATATTGTGAAAGTGAGTTTTAACCTCATAAAAACCTGTCGGGTTATTCAATAACGACATTACAATTTTATATTTAAATAAAAAACAGAATAATTGAGATATTGGGCTAAAATTTATTTTAGGTGTTCTATGGGCCCACTTTTCTCGGATTTATACGGATGCCGAACTTCCTCTTTAATAGATCAATTGTTTGACTAACCGCGTCAATTTGAACATGCCAAGTTCATCCAATTCTGCTCAAAAATAGTCTTCCAACATGGCACGATAACAAACACCATGGACCGTAACATGGCGATCATTTTCATCGACGAAAAACTATGGTCTAATCACACCTCAGACACAAAATCCACACCACATTCTTTGTGGTTGTAATGAGGTTTGTTAAAGCACATGTAGGTTTGGTTTGGATTTTCTTCAAACTTCAAACCTAACCCAAATCAACGTAACCTCACCCAACCCAACCCAACGTTTTTTTTTATAGAGAGGATTAGGAAATCTGCGGTCAGACACCCAGCCGAAGTTGTCATGTAGATAGTGTCGGGTTGGCTGCCCTCTTGGGTTGCCGACTAAAACATTCCTGTCTCCTTAGCCCATATGCTGCTCCATTCGTCCATTATTCCCTTCTCTATGGTAGTCTGGTTATCTTTTGTTGCTCATGTAAACATTTTCTTTTTGACCATTAATTGGAGTTGAGTTTGCTATAACTATTTTGTATCATATTATCTAACGTTGTTTGTGCAGTTTGCTCGATCTCCACGATTTTCTATCCATTAACCATAGCCGTTAAATCGCCTGGGTATGCGACCAATTTAACATTCTCAGTGTTTTCTTGTACTTCAAATATTTGATCGAAGAACACAATCCATAAAATTAACCCAACGCAACTCAACCAATTATTTTAAGCAATTTCCAAAGTGTAGAAAACTAATTTAGTAAAACTTAATATTTCTCTATCCATCGAATTGAGAGATGAGGGCCAATTGAGTGGCATGCAAAAACACCAGATTTGGTTCCGCTGGACTTCTTCCTTTGGGGATATCTGAAGAGTAAAGTTAACACCGCTAGCCAGAAGTAGTATGTATACAGTTACTAACCCCAATCTGAGAAGTTTCTGCGCTTTATATTATCAAGAGGAGTTAGTACTTGTGTTAATTTGATCTTGTAATGGTGTAAGCCAAGATTTTTACACAAAATTCGCCACCATGTGGTTTGAGAGATTTCTAATTCCTATGAAAGGCGTGGAATCCACTGATTTGGCTCATTTTGAATTGAAGCACTTACGGCTGCGAAATTTTTAGTGTTTCGACTGACAAAGCAACACCCAATATCGAATTGGGATACGAATTTATTAACTATTATCAACTCATTATGGTCGAAAATTGGATCACCGACTTAAAATAAAATCAAATGTTTCTGGTTCTAGATCTAGTGTTAGTTCTACTTTTCGTTCAATAAAAATATACCACAATCTAACGCTGAATAACAATTAAAACTGGAACTAACACTAGACCTAGAACTAGAAACATTCGGGTTTAGCCGCAAGTCTCTCAAGACGGCTAAACGCGAATGATGCTAGTTCTAGGTCTTGTGTTAGTTCTAGTGATAGTGTTAATGTAAAACTAGAACTAACACTAGACCGAGAACTAGAAACATTCGGATTTTGCAGCACGTCTCTCAAGACGGCTAAACTCGCATGATTTTAGTTCTGGGTCTTGTGTTAGTTTTAGTGATAGTGTAAAACTAGAAACCCGATACTTTCTAGTTCTCGATCTAGTGATATTTTATGCTAACTAGAGCTGCTTACCACATACTAGTTTCTAGTTCTAGGTTTAGTGTTAGCTCTAGTACCAGTGTTAGCCCAGTTTAATTTGTTATTCAGTGCTACATTGTTGTATATTTTTATTGAGCTATTTATTTTTTTTTTTGTATATTGCATCTTAGGTGGAATTCATTGTATATTATAAAATTTATAGTTATAGTATTATTTATAGTTATTATAAAAAAAAATATTTTTTTATAGTAAATGATTGATTGTGTATTATAAGTTGTCTTTGAAGTGATAGAAAATCAATACTTAATATTTCCTGTATTTCTCACAGTTGTGGAACATAATAAATCTAAATCCAACAAAAATACTCATCTGTTTTTGCAAGGCGTAAACACACGTAAATCACCGTACTTTTTTTTCTTAAAGGGTAATTGTTTAAGTTTTGGGGCCAGTAGTAAAACTATTATTAGACTCTTCCTCATCAAAAGAAATAGTCGGTTGTTTGGATTCGGAGAGTTAATTTTTCAAAGGCTCGTTTGATTCCGCAAGAAAAAACTAACTCCGAATTTATTTTATTTCACTTATTTTCTTAAAAACGATTTCCGGACATAATGATTTTATTTCGCAAATTTAATATTTGGTATTTTGATTTTACTTTGAATTCGAACTGATTGTGAGTGTTGAATAAAAACGCGGCTGCGAGTGAACATCGAAACAGAGAATGGAATTTAGGTTAACGAATGACATGGCTGTGTTCAAAAAAATAAAAGAAAAAATACCAACTCCTCCAAATTAACCAAGCGTGTGGCGTCGGTGGCGAGGTCGTAAAAAAAGTAAAAGGAATAAAGCTCGGTCGTCACTTGGGTTTAATTGAACCCACGGCACCCCAAAAAACTTTACACTGCGCAACCCCGCGATACAAAAACTCACTTGGCCTTTATACGAATTACACGAGTATGCAAATTTTTAAGTTTTCCCTAACTTCTATGTCATTTTTTATGGAGGAAAATAACTAAATTTGTCCGAAATGTAAAAAACTCTATTTATAGCTGATTTGTTTTTGTATTTCCTGATAGTAAAGTGCCAGGTGTTACTCTCATTTATACGGATTTACCTCTGATAGTTTGTTAGGATTAAGTCGAGCCAGCGATTTTCGCTGTACCTCTTACTGGAACGCATTTCACGTTAGTAAGTGCATTTATTACAGCTTTGGACATTCTAAACCATGAATATATTGTAACAACTTTAACTTTACTATTAAGTTAAGGATTATATTGTCACTACGAAATATTTTAGTTGTATACATTTTATCTAAATACAGATGAAGAAAATAAGTCAACAATATAAATTATAAGAATTACGTTTATAAAAAATAAATAAACAACAAAGTAAAAAATGAACAATGTAAACTTTTGGTGAGAAACGTTATGATGTAATATTAGCGACGAGAAGAAGAGACGGTTTCAGAAATTTTTTGCACAATTTTTTTTAATATCCTTTATTAAACATCTCTGCGTTCGAGCCCGAGATTCCACTTTTAATATCGAAGTTTTCATCGCTCCGTAATGAATACACTCAATGTAATGAAATAGCCGCTTGTAATATAATTTTTAAAATCTATATACTTGGACCCCGAGCCTGAACGAGCTCGAAATTGTACAGACAAGAATCCAACTCAAACCAACCGTAAATCGTGTTCGTGTCGTTTTCCACGAATAAAATTTCAAGTATTTTTACAATAAGCACCGTACAAAGTTAATTAAATTCTTCCCTGCGTGTGCAAATAAAACATAAAAGAGGTTGCCATTAACTACCAACCGGAAAAGGAACCGAAAATGATGGTGTTGACAACTCCATTGTCATAAATGTCAGTTCTTTAAAACCGAAGATAATATCGGGTTTTTAATTTTCGGTAAAGTTAGAAAATTTAATGTGTATTTGAAGATTTTAAAGATAAAAGATGGAACTTTCGTTGCCCCCAAAAAAGGAGCTTGCTTATAATGAAAAAAGTGAATTGAGCATAAGGAACACTTTTGAAGGTATCGAATTGAAGGTTTATCTATTATTTTTAATATAAAATATTGATCGCGGATAAAATATGAATACGAATATCCCTCTGGCGAATTCCACGAAAATAAATAAATGCATATATCGACCATGCATTATTAAATAACGCTGAACAAATTCCGGCATCGACGAAAAATACGGCATTGAACAAAACTCGTAAAATATAATTATATTCCGGTTAACTCATACGCATTGTTTAAATTTACAGTGCGCAGCGCTATAGCCGTACGCTATGTGTAATTCCATTGAGTTTGTTGCAAATTAATTTTGGATTTCATCAGTAATAACTTTCGAACAAAAAAGTTAATAAAAAGTTGCCCAAAAAAAATCGAATAGGATTTTTGATTTTTTTTTTTTCATTTTTTGTAATAGTATCTATAGTCTATTTGGTCCGGAACTTATCCAAGTGAAACCGGAAAATAGGCCATTAAATAAGTACAATTGCGAACGTTAGCGCAAATATCTTTTCAGCTCATTTCAGCTCACGCTGTAACGGGGGGGCCTCGTTCAATTGTCGATGCTGCGGTTGTGTTAAATGTACTGTGGGGCCGCGATGACTAAAAACAAAAACTCATTGCGCAATGTAACGCGGTTAATGTTTGGACATTATTCATGCGAATTTGCCAAATTAATCACTAAAAATTTTTTTCGTTGCATTCAAATACATATCCCAACAATGCTATTTCCTAAAACCATAAACCAAAATCTCATTAATACAAAGCTACTTTATCATCATTTCCAAATGTACAAGTTTAAATATTAGTTAAAATTGCTATCAAAATATTTATTTAATCTCATATCTGTTTTAAAATTTATCCAATTCCTCTTCAAAATCACAACAATCGTCTGGATTTATTAAATATTCTCTATTTGATTTAAACTAATTAAAATATAACACAGGGAGGGGCAGAACTCAGTCCCTGATTTGACGGGTTAATTGTAAGAAATGATTCAAGATACATAAAAAAGATTTTATTGCTCAAAAGTACATATAACACGTTTTTTTTTCACAATGTGTTGAAAATAATATCGTTCAAGTGGCGGCTTTGGCGAGCAATGCACATGTTGAGCCTTTGAAAGAAGTTTTCGGCCACTCTTCAGAGTATATCTAAATTCCAGCATTGACATCCTCAATCGCCACCTTTACAGCTTCAAGAATTCGAGGTCATTCGAACATCAGAAAATCATCGCAGAAAACCTGCTCATTTCTCTATTCGGTCTGGGCGCCCTACGATGATTTTCTAAAACTAAGGACTACATTCTGCCCCATTCTATATTAATCCAATTAAATAGATTACTGTTTATGAAACATTTATTATGCAACATTTAAATTGAGAACATATGTCAACGATATGTGTGAAGTGCTTAACTTTATGATTTCTAGGTTCGAACCATTTTTCGTCAAATTTATTGCTTCAGAAAAGCATTCCAGAAGTGTTTATGTAGAAATTGTAGATATGTTTGAAGCATACTCAGAGGTGTTCGACGTTGTCATAGAAAATATTGCGTCTATCATGGAAATGGCTATTACGTCAATGTCACGTTTTGCAGTTATTTTGAAATGATATGCTTAGCTGCAAGACTTCTTTTGAAGTCTTGCTTCAAGTCTTGCTTTTGAAGTCCAAATTACTATATTGGTGCTTTCTCCACTTTGTTACCACGATTGGCAATATTATAGCTGATTACCATGACAATTCTTTGTGATGAATCAAGATTTTGAGCTATTGTTAAAATTGTAAGTTATATGCAGATTGGCAGGAAAAATTAATCTTACCTCCAACTCTCGCAAACGAATCAATAACTAATTACAAAAAATATAGTAAAAATCTAAGGTTTATGGATTAAACAATTTGTATGGATGTCAACTTGATGTAAATTTTGTCGGGACTTGAGGGTTCAGCTGCTTCTGAAAAATTTATCATTACCGATACCTAGTTACCATTACCATTACCTCACGAGTGCCAGGAAAATAACGTATTTAGTCCATAATTGGAAAGATAACGGTAAGAGAAAAATACCAAAATAAATAAAAGGCTTATTGCTAACAGTAATCTAAAGTTTTATGAAAATCAGCTTCAAAAGTATGCGAAAATGTAAAGCTCCACTTCGAAATTCTCAGTGTCGATTGCAAAATTTTCTTAGAAAGATGCATTGAGGTAGTTATTGCCACGACCATTGTTTTTTGTTCATTTATTTTTAAGGCATAGCTGTTGGCTGAATGTTACAGAGTTGTATAAGTTCCTACCACCTGCGACAGAGTTCTGGAAACCATGTCAACGTCGTCCGTTTAAGCGAGCAATTGTGTAGATTTATTTATTGTCTTTCCTTACTGCCTTTTCCATGCTTATGTTGTTATTTATTTAACAGTTATTTTTTATTTTTATGTAACAAATATTTGGTTTGACGTCAATCTACCTGGCTAGAATCCACTTTGGTAATATGCTATTTTCAATATACATACAATTATTCTGTATTAGCTGTGTCAAATATCTCTTGGATAACTTTGGAGATCGCTACTCTCTGATTAAAACTAGTACCAAATTATTAGTCATTGTTATTTCTGTTATGCAGAAAAATCATGAATTACTTACAATCATTAATGGATATTCTAATTATTAAATCAGGGTTCCACCTTTGACATTTTTGCCGAGTAAGATTCGTGCTTAAAATGCAAACGTAAGCATCTTGGTGAATTTGGAAGATTCCCTTCTCTTTGCCCTTTCTCTGCGGTAGAATAGTACCATTGGAAACGTGTCTCTTAACGAAAATCGCCTTTCCGGCATGCGGAATTGAAAATTAATGGATACCGAGAGGACGAAGGCGGCGCTATAGCTCTGCTTGTTGTGTTTTAGGGTTGCCGTTTTGCAAACAGCCGCCGCACCGCCCTCCTCCTTCGCTCGAACTTTGCGATACTTAAAATGTAATCTACCGGAGAACAGTTCGGGATCTTATCCCTGGGCAATAATTTGCGCTTTAATGCCGATGAGCTCTGTGGAAATTTATTGCAGTTTCGGTTAGCCCAGTAGCGCCCCTTGCGAATTATCATTTTAGTCAACCGAGAAATACCTTTCTAATTTCTTTGATTAAAAGTATTTTAAAAAACATTTTCACGATTTAAAAATAAATCGTTAACTTGAAGACGTCTTATCACCAAAATAGGAAATTAAATATTAAGCCAAACAAAACACTCAACCTTATCCTTGAGTGGTAGAGATAAATGGATGTTTTTGTAAGAGTACTTCGACCTCGACAAACCATTTAGAGACAACACAATCGGAATACTAGTGCAATTCGAACGAATAACACAGCCTCACCAGTACAATGAGAAAAGTTCTATCGTTCTTACACCTTCTGTTTGTACCACTTTTAGGAAAATACATCAATATCGAGAGAACTTACGAACCGACTTGGGAAAGTTTAGACACACGCCCTTTACCGGAATGGTACGACAAGGCCAAGGTGGGCATTTTCGTACATTGGGGTGTTTATTCTGTGCCTAGTTTTGGATCAGAATGGTTTTGGATTAATTGGAAAGGTAACAAATTTTATTATTAATACATCAATCCGAAATATTTGTATTCCGCATAATACAAATTTCAATTCTAGGTCGAAATATTTCAAAATATGAAGAATTTATGGAAAAAAATTATCCACCAGGATTTCAATATCAAGAATTCGCCAGAGATTTTACCGCTGAATTTTACGAACCGGAAGAGTGGGCGAAATTGTTTAAAGAATCTGGCGCTAAGTACGTCGTTTTAACCAGTAAACATCATGAAGGATACACTTTGTGGCCGTCTAAACAATCGTTTAGTTGGAATTCGATGGATGTAGGTCCGCATCGTGATCTTCTAGGTGAATTATCAAAAGCGGTGAAAAGCGAAGGTTTGCATTTTGGTATTTATCACTCTTTAATGGAATGGTTTAACCCAAGATATTTATCGGATAAAGAAACCGGTTTTCTAACGTCCGAATATGTTGAAAATAAAGTTCTTCCTGAATTAAAGGAGGTTATAACAACGTACGAACCGGATATAGTTTGGTCCGATGGTGAATGGGAGGCACAATACACTTATTGGAAATCCACGGATTTTTTGGCATGGCTTTATAACGAAAGTCCGGTTAAAGAAAATGTTGTAGCTAACGATCGATGGGGTTCGGAAATTTTGTGTAAACACGGCGACTTTTATACTTGTGCTGATCGTTTCAATCCCGGTGTATTACAAACACACAAATGGGAAAATTGCATGACTATCGATCGGTATTCGTGGGGTTATCGTCGAAATGCAAATTTTGAAGATTACATGACAGCTTATGAACTTATTAAAACAATGGTTGAAACTGTTAGTTGCGGCGGCAATATTTTAATTAACGTTGGTCCTACAAAAGAGGGCACAATCATTCCAGTCTTTCAAGAAAGATTGATGCAATTGGGTGCTTGGTTAAAAGTTAACGGAGAAGCTATTTATGATTCAGTTCCATGGAAAAAACAAAATGATACTTTGCATCAAACTTGGTACACTTCTAATGATATGGGTGATACTGTTTATGCTATCAGTTTAATTTGGCCAACCGGAAATGTTATTCAATTAGCTTCTGCTGACGAATTATTTGCTAATTCTACAACTACCGTGCAGTTATTGGGAAATAACGGAAATTTGGCTGTATGATATTTCAAAATTTTATTATTATTATAAATACATTGTTTCTTTTTTTAGTGGACCAAAACAGCTGATGCAGTTAGTATTGTCTTACCAGACAAGTCATCTGTAAAAGTGGAATATGCCTGGGTGTTGAAGATAAGTAATTTCTCGTAGACGAAATATCAACATTTTGATATCTTTAATAAATTTTTGTTTCAAATCCATTAAAAATTGTCAAGTTTTTGCAAAACCTAAAAGAATGGATAGACGTTTTTGAGTTATTCGAAAAACTTCCAAATAAATACGCCTGATTTCCAATATCAATAATAGAACTACAAAGAGACCTTTCAAATGACCGGTTCATCGCATCGGCGAGTTATAGGTTGAATTGGCCGACACGCAAAAGTGGTCTAGGTCTGTTCTGTTCGGTCCGTTACGTTGGCGGCAATGTAATTATGGCACGCGGCGGTGGTTGGTTTTCAAAATGCTTTCAACGGGGTTCGGACGCTTTTGTTCGACGACCAAATGACCGCATCACGAATAGAAACGCCACAGAATGAAAGCGCCCCGGTAATTATATAGAAGGCGAATTGAACATTTTCATTTTAAAAAATTGATATTGGGTCGATATTGAAATAACTAAGTAAATGAATTTTGCGTGGTACATTTAATTAACTTTGACGGAGATTTTGCTTTGATGTGATTCATTTCAATAAGATATTACATTACGTAATTATGATATTCATTTGATGTATTCAATAATAAATTACGCGTGTGAGAATTAATTTAATAGTGAATTTTAATAATTTTCGCTTTGTAAAATATTAATGTAACCGGTGTAAATTATTAAAGTTGAAAATCATATGAGAGTCACCTTGTAGCCGTTCTGTTTCCATTTTCATGTTTAACCCAAAACTGCCAAGAATAATTCCGTATGTATCGCAACAAGAAGAACTATACTACACTCAACGTAGGTAACAATTTGGCTTAAAATAAGACAATAGAATTTACTATTTCCCTTTTTAGCATCGCCTCATTTCTCCTTCTAATTTTGACATGTAGATACAATAGTAGGTACTGGGTTTGTGTTGAGATCGCGTTACGCAGAGTTGAGAGGAAACCGCTGTAACATCGCTTCAGGACGTTAATATTCGAAGCAAAGTGGTAATCCGAGAAGATAATTGCTTGTTGCGATTTGCTCTCGCGCCGCTTCCGGTCAGGCGCTCTTCCTTCTGCGTGTAACGTTATCAACATCGCGCGCAGCAGCCATATTATTTCTACAATTCCGTCGTTTACGTCCGGTTCCAGGTTTTGCTAGAAGCGAAGTTTAATTACCGCCCTGAAAAGCAATTTTCTCCACAACAACAACCAACCCGTCGTTGTTGTCGAAATTCTAGAATTATAAATATCAAGAAACCATTCTAACCCCGGCGTTCATTTCATTCGCCGGATTAATTTAAATTTGACGTGAAATATCGATATCAACGTACCTATATTGAGACTTGATTTTTCTTCAGAGACGTCCACGAAGCGGAAATGAAAAGGGAAAATAAAGGGAGGAGTTCGCTTAAAGACGCGAAACATAAAAAGCTTGTTGCAACGTTATAATGGCAATATCTCGTAGTCCTCCTCCCGTAGTATCCATTACCATAAGTGGGCTGGGACGTTAAAAGCCACAAAAGCCCCAACCGTCTCTTCTTCTCCACATATTTTCCGATTTTTCTTTAGGAACGAATCTTGAATTTCTTATAATTACCTATTTGAAAGATGATTTTTATGACCAAAAGATATTTCTGGTCTTCATTGACGTTTAAGATATAATTTAAATATAATAAATCACAAGACCACCTTTTTGTTTGAAAGATATTTTCCATAAAGTAAGATAAATAGGTAAAGTTTGCAAAAAGAAATATTTAGCTAAATTAAATTCAACACTTTATCATCTAAAGTACTTTACTTTAAAAATGTTGAAAAAAACAAAACAGGGTTTTTTCACTTTTAAATATACTTAATAGTTTAGGGAAGTCCTTATATAAGTTGTTTAAATAGTAATTAAGTCAAAGTGTATTATTTTCATCGCCAGAAAAAAGCTCTCCAGTTTGTTTTAAAATTGCCTTTCAACTTAATTACCGATTTTTAAACAACCTATTCCTTTCAGACGCTTTCCCAGGCTTATAAGAAAAGAAAAATCTTAATCATTAAATTTCATTAAAAAATCTTTATATTGAAGTGGTTGGATGAAGATTATTAATATCTCTCTACTTTTTCTACGGGAAAACGTACCTTAGGAATAGTATCTAATTGAAAGTCGAGCATCATCCGTTATTAACATAATTTAATCTTTGTGTATGTTTAGTAAGTGTCTATCTCTAGACTGATTATGTTTCACATTTGCAACAGACATAGTTGAATGAATTTGTCAATAACATATCGCAAAATATATGTATACGACATATATTTGAACTTGATTATCAAACATTGTAATGCAGAAAATGAGAAATTCAATGACGAGAATAAAATGTACCGAGCAATTTGAAAAACCAAACGTTGTCAATCGTTAAAAATTGAAAATAGCGTTCGATAAATTGTAAAAGTAGCCTGAAGCTACATTCATCGACCGTTCCGTTTGGTACGTGGCTCATTAAAATCGAATTGTAAACAACAGTTACACCTTGGGGCATTTTTGGTTGTAACAACCTGAATAAAATACATTCCATTGATGATGATAATCAAAATGAACCCATAAAAAAACTCTTATAGTAACAACATTATCTAATTTTTATACTAACATATTTTTAAAGCACAAAAAAAATATTTACTGTTTTTAATTGGCTACAGTAAACACAATTTTTTGTGGTTGTTGATGTGGGGAATGATTTTCAATTTTGCTGTTTAAACATTCATTTTACGCTAAAAATTTATGGATTCCCTTAATTACTGGAAATCGTAGAGAATTACCGATAGATAATTTATTAATAATTAATCAATAATGTGGCTTAAAATGTTTGTTTTAATGAAAAATTAAGTTCGGCGTTTAAGTTATCTTTTTTACGTTTTAAAAAGGTACTGGTGTATATTCCAGACAGGACGTCGCGCCCTTATTTCTTAATGTAGGTAAAATAAGGGCGCGATGTCGGGCATAGCTTATTTCTATTTCTTTTTAATTTAATATTTATTTATTTGAAACATAACTTTGATAAATAGATAACGGGATTCGACAAATGCAATTATTTGACATATTTTGATTAAAACCACATTAAAATTCACCCAGCCGTTTTCGACATAACAGCATCCTACTAAACCGCGATTTTCTGCGAAACTATGGATAATATCGAAAGAATAAAATATATCCCTCGTTAAGAACACATCATTCTACCACCTGTTCAAATTTGAAATCTTTTCGTCGGATAGTTTTTGAGAAAAAAAGTTGGACAAAGTTGCCGGCTCCCTCAATAATCGGGTACTTTTTTCATTTAACTCCCGATAAAAAGAAAACCGCGGAGCCGAACATTTTCAAATCAACATATCTTACGTAGAAATGTTCAGTAATTACAACAAACTTTACCGCAATTCTTTTCATCGATCAGTTGCGAAGATATCAATCTCTAAAGTGACTTTTGGCACAGATAGTAGTAGTCATATTTTCAAGACTCTGATGAGTCCTGTTTCTAAAACTAAACCAGTTAACGAGTTTAAAGATTTGAGGACTATTATTATCTTCCTTCTGGTTTTGTCTAAAGTGTTAGAGAAGATTATGGCGGAGCTATGAAGATCTTTTTTAGATACTTATACTATTTGAGAAACAATATGGTTTCAGGAGTAAGTATAGCTGTGCCATAGTACTTTTTGACTTAATTGATGATACACAGGGTGTATCAAATACGAGTAAAAAAAAATTGAGGGTTTATAGGTCTTCTCTTTCTAAATAAAAAATTTTTATAACACAATGTAACATTCTTTGTCCTTCTTAAGATATGATACGATAAAGTTAAGGGTTCACAAGTTTGAGTACTGCTGGTTAAAGAATTATACTAAGCAGGCTTTGTTTTGCTTTATAATGTTACTAAAATGACGTTTGTTGTTGTAATTTTTTGATTTGTCTACAACACAATAAAGATTATTATTATTATTTGTACTTTGTTTCTAGTTTTGTAATTTTGTCGTTTTTAATACAATAAGCAAGTTTATTTATTAAAACCTAAATTTTTGTAAATTTTCACATTAACGAGTGATAAAACAGAAGTGATAAATTTATTCGTATAAAGTAAACAATCTCTAAAAAAATATCTCAAATATGACTTTTATGTGTCAAATTAAAGCTATATACATAAACAAAGCTTGCTTAGTATAATTCTTTATACAGCAGTACTTAAACTTTCAAACCCTTAACTTTATTGTATCAAATGGCAAAGAATGGGACATTGTGTTATGAGACTTTTTATTCACAAAAAGGGGACCTATAACCCCTCAAATTTTTTCTACCCGTACACCCTGTACGTAGAGCTCTTGATGCTGATAGATCTACTAGACATTTTATATCATGAAGGTCATTCAAGATTGGCTTTTCCATTTATTAGCTATTCGTCAATTTGTTGGTGTATCTGATTATGCTCTTTCTTTGTTTATGAGTTATCTATTTGATTGGTTAAAATGAAGTCATTGTTCAGATGTTTTTATCGCAGGGTCTGAAACGGTCATTTTAATTATTATGATGTGCTATTTGGTTCATGTTGATCCTGTAAGAATTTAAGAAGTCATGTATCGCATGTTTTGTTATCCAGTGATTGGCTGAATATGCGACAGAAAGTTGAGGTTCATTACTTGTCTTTAATCTACGGTCTTATTACTTCCTGCAAGTCGCCTTATCTCACAATCAATTGTAAAATTACGTTCAGAACGGATGATCATAACATGAATCTCTGGCAAAGATTTTGTTTAAACATAGCTCCTCAAAATTTCAGTGTTCATTTTCATATCAGGTTGCTCATTTTTGGAGTTCCTATTATACAACCTTCAAGATTCTAATGAAGTCATTTGAAATTGATAACCTTACATGGTTTACTATAATTTGTAAATAGAATTTCTCAGCTGATTCAACATTTTCATCATGTTAGGCAGAGGATAGGTGTTATATTCCAATTTTTTCAACCTAAGTCATTTTTGTATTTCCTCCTTATGAGATAAATGACTGATTGTGGAAAATAAAATTTTTTTATATAACAACATTAATG